TCACTCTTAACCAGGGGTGGGCAAACTTTTTGACTCGAGGGCCACAATGGGTTCTTAAAGTGGACCGGAGAGCCGGAACAAAAGCATGGATGGAGTGTTTGTGTAAACTAATATAAATTCAAAGTAAACATCATTACATAAAAGGGTACGGTCTTTTTTTTTTTTTTTTTTTTAGTTTTTTTTATTTCAAACGGGCTGTAGTTTGCCCACAGCTGCTCTTAACAATCAATGTCCAGGTAATAGCTGAGTGCAAGTATTGGAGTGACACTGGTTTACAAAATGAAATTCCTAAATAAATTATGGTACATCTTAATGATAGACTTTAAGTCTTGAAAAATGTTTACAAAAAGCTTACAGACCTAAGATAATGCTCACAACAAACCAAAAATACAGGCTATGTAAGTGGACACACTATGTTCTTAGGCAGTGGGTGTGTCATTTATTAAGCACCTACTATGTGGCACATACTCTGCTTGTCCTCTCCACTAGGGCATAGGCTTCTTCAAGGCAAGGATATGCTCAGGAAAAGATATCTTAAACAAGACACAGAACACTGACTAAAAATGAAAAACTACATTTCACTATATTAAAACTAAGAATGGTGTGGCTCCGTGGTTAAGCATCAACCCCTGAACCAGGAGGTCACAGTTCGATTCCCAGTCAGGGCACATGCCTGGGTTGTGGGCTCAATCCCCAGTAGGGGGAGTGCAGGAGGCAGCCGATTGATGAATCTCTCATCATTGATGTTCTTATCTGTCTCTTCCTCTCCCTTCCTCTCTGAAATCAATAAAAACATATAAAAGAGATCAACCAATGAACTTGTATGTGTATATGCATAACCCACGGACACAGACAATGGGGTGGTGAGGGCCTGGGTGGGGAGGAGCGGGAGAGAGCTGGAAGAGGTTAATGGGGGGAAAACGGGGACCTATGTAAAACTTTCAACAATAAAGATTAAAAAAACAATTTGAAAAAATAAAAACATATACAAATATTTTTTAAAAAGAAAGAAAAAAACAATGGTCATTCAACTAAATATGCCTTAAAGAAGATAGAAAGACAAGTTACGAGCTGGAAAAAATATTTGCCTTATGCATTAAAAATTAAAACAAATATATAAAGAACTCCTACAAATCAATAATAATAATAAAGCACCAAAAAACCCACAGAAAAATTGGCAAGAGGCATGAACAAATATTTCACAAGAAACTCATATACCAATAAACTGATGAAGAGATGTTCAGCCCAGCCAGCATGGCTCAGTGGTTGAGTATCAACCTATGAACCAGGAGGTCATGTTTCAAATCCCAGGCAGGGCACAAGGTCCACCCCCAACCCCACCCCATCCCAGGTTTTAGACTCAAACCCCAGTGCAGGAGGCAGCCTATCAGTGATTCTCTCTCATCATTGATGTTTCTATCCCTCTCTCCCTCCCCCTTCCTCTCTGAAATCAATTAAAAATATTTAAAAAAAGAGAGATGTTCAATGTCAGGGCTCAGAGACATAGAAATCAAGAATCCAAAGATACCATTTTATATCCATTCAATTGGAAAAAAATAAAATAAAATAAAAAGTCTGCCTATATCAAGCGCTGGCAAAAATGTGGAGCAATTGGAGGTCCTATCCACTGCTGCTGGCAGAATGTAACTGGTACAACCGCTTCAGAAAACAGTCAGGCAATAGCAACGAAAGTTGAACGTTTATTTACCTGATGACCCAGCAGACTATCACCCCTAAGTTTATACCCACGAAAACCTCTTGCACATGTTCCACAGGAGATGTGTATACGGAAATGTTCAGAGCAGCACACTTGCAACAGCTAAAACCTGGAAACAACTAAGTGCCCATCAGTGAAGATCAGGTGACAAACTGTGGTTTGTCTTACACCATAGAATGTTAGTAGCAAAAACAAATGACATAAAATAATATGGACGACAAATCTTAGCAAAATTAAATTATATGTTTCTTCTGAAATATATAGGTACAATAAACCTATATTAAAATGAAAGCAAGGAGATAATGATTATCTGAGAATGAAAATGGGGAGATTGCATGCTTAGATGTATACTTTTTTGTTTCAAACCCCAAGCTTTTGTTATGTGTGGCTGAGATACAGATGCTTACTACATTCATTAAAAATAGCTTAGTAAATAAATATAAGCAAGTCTGAGGTAAAAATTAAACACAGAAAAGAGACCATTTAATTTATCTCTGTACTCCAAGTGCCAAGCACAAGCCCGGCATACAATTTCTGCAGGCATGTGTAGAATGAATCAGGGACTTTTCTCCCTAGCCCACCATCCCCTTCCTATTGGCATCTTAGGTACTTACAACATGTCTGAGGCCAAATTCACCTTCCTTCTTCCCAATTCTGCTTCTCCTCCTAGATTCTCTGGCTCCACTCTGACCCAGGCAGTTAGAAGAAAAACCTGGGAGACTTGCTTCCCCTCAACCTTCTCTCCCACTGCCCCACAGCTGCCATGGCTTGCTCTCTCCTCCTTCCTCAAGTCCTCAGAGCCCTCTGGTTGGGACCTTTATGCCTCTCACCTTGATAAATATTCTTTCCCACTGGCTTTCCCCAACTCTTATCTCTCCTTCTAGTCCACCTCAGAGACAGGTGCAAGACTGAGCTTCCTGAAATACAGTTCTGATCCTGTTTCTTCCACATCTCCATGGATTTCTGGAATAAAGTTCAAGCTCCTTGGGTTGACACTGAAGCTCATCACAATCTGGTCCCTCTCTATCAACCATATTTGCCAGTGCACCTCCCTTCAGTACCCTCTTTCACCTATACCTCCCTCTCCCCAACCCCTCCCAAAGATTTTTTTTTATCATCTTTTTTTTTTAACTTTTTATTACAAAGGGTATTACATATGTGTCCATTTTCCCCCCGCTCCCAAAGATTTTAAGTGATGATCTACTACCACAAATACATCCCATTTCCCCACCTCTATGCCTCAGCTCCACACAGAATCCCATTCACTTGGCCACCCACCCTCACCTGACCCATAATCTCAAGGCCCCATTTAAATAGTACCTCCAGCCCTAGCTGGTTTGGCTCAGTGGATAAATTGTTGGCCTGCAGACTGAAGGGTTCTGGGTTTGATTCCAGTCAAGGACACATGGCCGGGTAGCAGTCTCGATCCCCAGTAGGGGGCATGCAGGAGGCAGCTGATCAATGATTCTCTCTCATCATTGATGTTTCCATCTCTCTCTCTCCCTTCCTCTCTGAAATCAATAAAAATATATATATTTTTAAAGTACCTCTAGTCCTAGCTGGTTTGGCTCAGTGGACAGATAGTCGGCCTGCAGACTGAAGGGTCCTGGGTTTGATTCCAGTCAAATATATTTTAACCCTTTGAATGCCAACCAATATCCTAGGAACTATGCTAAAACTGCCAAGGCATTTTTGCTGATTTTATAGTAGTTTAGGAAAAAAATTATGAATCGCAAGTAAATGAAGTTAAATACTCAATATCTTCCACAAAATCGTCATCTTCACAGCAAGAATTGACATATTTAGCAATATCATCATCACTAATAAAAGTAGACTAAGAACAGGTTTCCCAGCTGAGTCATCTGCTTTGAGTGGCTGTTCTGTCCCAAGACCACGGAAGGCAGAGCTCTCTTTCCGAGCAGCTCGTGCACATGTTCTTAACCCTTTGAGTGCCAACCAATATCCTAGGAACTATGCTAAAATTGCCGAGGCATTTTTGCTGATTTTGCAGCAGTTTAGGAAAAAAATTATGAATCGCAAGTAAATGAAGTTAAATACTCAATATCTTCCACAAAATCGTCATCTTCACAGCAAGAATTGACATATTTAGCAATATCATCATCACTAATAAAAGCAGACTAAGAACTGGACACTGCAGGAGGAGCGCGATAGCGCTCCTGGCACTTTTGGTGAAAGACAGGAGGAGAGAGATCGCGCTCCCCGGCACTCTAGGGGTTAATAAATAAATTAAATAGCACCTCCATGATGTCGTGGTGTGCCCAATTGAAAGAAAATACCCTTTTATCAACTTCCACAGCATTCTGTCTGTCCTCCAGAGTTCTCTATGTTCATCACCAAGCTGAGGGCAAAATCTCCCCCTTACCAGAAGCTGGCATGGCGTAAGGAACAGTCACAAAGATAATAATCCAATCAAATCCAACCCACACTTTCCGGCGAGTGTGTAAACTTTAAATGATCCACCTCCCCAACTGGAATTCTTCCCCTAAAATCCTTCTGCCCTCCCCCCAGACCCTTGGCATGGCTCACCAAACCCTCCACACTCAGACCTCTGCCCACCTGCCCAGCATCCTCTATCCCACACCGACCCTTTGTTGCTCTAGCCACTGAGCTACGTACAGTGGTCCAGACATGCCAGGTAGCTTCACAGCTTTGCCCACTCCTCTGCCAGGCTACTGCCCCTACTTTCTAAATCCTACTCCTTCACAATTCACCTTGCTATCATCTTCCCGAAGCCTTCCTGAGCTTCTCACCCTCCTTCCTACCCCCTTCCTGGAGTGGTGGGAGTTTTGTCCTGTGAGTCCCCCTCCTCAACACATATCACACTGACAAAACCTGTCACTGTCTATGGCTTGCTGCTTTTCTACCAAAAAAACAAGTTACAGAAGACAGAGCTCTTGTTGCTCCTTACAGTACCCCCCGCACTGAGCATGGGGCTTGACATAAAGGAAGCACCCAGTAAAGATTCATGCAACAAAAGAAATAAAAATTTCCCAGTTCAAATGCAGAAATCATGGCTTATGTTCTTCATCCCATAAAGCATGTCTTAAAGTGCAAACCATGTAGAAAGCACCCTCTAAGACTGGTTAAACAGGAGAAGTCATTGGCAAGAAGCCACTTGAATTTCTTTGAGAGAGCAAAAGCAATCTACTCCCAGGGCTCACTTTCATCCTGGAGATCTCAAATTCTACCCTCCCCAGTCCTCACCTTTTCTATTGAAAACCAGATGAAGAAGGCAGCAATGTAAAGTCCCCATGGCTCTCACCTTTTCTCTCTGGAGAGCTGGCACAAACCGTCCCTTCTTGGTGGCGACACCCGATCCTTAGGAGAAATGACTTGTTCGAGTTCCCATCTTGATAGAAAACGCAAACAACAAAACCCAGGCAAATCTGAAAGGCTTGCTGACTCAGCAACACAAATTTCAAGACACCTTTGCCAACAAGGGAGAAGATGATCAGGTTTTACATTGAGAAACAGCAGTTAGTGAAAATGAATGCACAGATGTTGGGTCCGTGTGACTGGGGACTGGAAACCACCAGATTTACTTTCCGAAACCCGAGGCAGAGCGGACGGTACGGTAGTCTTCCTCTGCCCACTCAAATAATCAAGGGAATGGTCAAAAACAATAATAAAATAAATAAATAACCTGAGCCGTTTCATAGAAAAGCCCAAAAGGATTTTATAAGCCAGTCTGCTGTGTACGCATCAAGGAAATCAACACACCAGAGAGGGTTCAAGTTTAGCCACAGGCACACAGCAATGAAGGAGAGGCCTAGTTATAGTTACTCTGATGGCTTAAGTTAAAGCCTAATGTTGGCCACCAGAAGGCCCCCCTGCTAGAACTCCAGAGGAGCTGGGACGGCATGCAGAAATATTTTGAGTTTCTGAAGGGTCCAAGCGCCTGTGCACACACTATTTCCACTGAGACCGGCACTTAGGGAAGTGGAACTAGTAGCTGGCTGAGAAAGGCGGGATGAAAGGGTAGCTCCAGAAAAAGTCTTCTAAATCCTCTTCAGCATACATTACGAACCCCGCAAAAGTGACCCAGGGTCTCTGGGAACGGGAGATTCCCGGAAGGCGGACCCCGCTCGGGACAGGAAAGCAGAGTTCGGAGGCAAAGTCCTCTCTAAATTACAACCCCGCTCTAGCGAGTCGATCGCTAGGAGGCAGACCCCGACAGAAACCACACCCTACGCCGCAGCCTGGCGGCAGGGTCAGCCCGCTTCCTCCAGGTCCTGTGGGACGAGGTTCGCTCCAACCGACCGGCTCAAACTCCCCGGCTCTGCGCCCCTCCACCTGCTAGCCCTTCGGCTTCCACCCCGGCATTCACCCTCCCACCCAGCACCCAGTCGAAGCTCCCAGCGCCTCCCAATGCCCCCCACGCCATCCTCAGAGCCCCCCAGTCTAGAGACCGGTCCTTCCAAACCCACTCCTGACCTCGTCCCGGGACGCCCCTCCGGCCCGGCCCAGCCCCCCTTCACTTCCATGCCCGCCCCCTTCCGGTCCCAGCACAGTTTGGTCTCCCCCGCGCCCTCGGGACCCCAGCCCTGGCGACCAGCAGGTGGCCTGACCGCCCCCTCTCACCGAGGCTGAGGAGAGCGAGGGGCCAGGAGGAGGGCACGCGGGGGCGGAGGCGGGGCAGACCTGTTCAGCTGTATCTATCCTTTCTCCTTAGCCTGTTTGCTCATGACTTGCTCCTTCATTAATTTACTGATTGTTTTACATCGTTGTTGTTTTTTTAACATAGTTTTTACTGGTAGATACAAGGTTCCAGACCCTGTGCTGGGTACTGGGGATTAACACGTCAATTGGAAACTTGGTTTCTCTCCTGGAAGAACTTCGGACCTACTAGTAGTTGCGGAAATAAACACAAACACACAATTACAATATAGTGGGATAAATATTATGTTAAAGGAGTGGGAGCATAGAAGGATGCCCCTAATTTGGGGGTTGGGTCAGGAAGACATCACAGAGGGGTGATGCTTGAGTTGGATTTCCAAGCCCACATAAGGGTTTGCCTGATGGACTGCAGGGAACCTCATGCAAAAGAAGAGAGATGTGAAAGTGCCTGATGCACTCAGCAAGCCGTGAAATGTTCGTTGTGGCCAGGGCAGAGGATTCATGAAGGGGCTGAGGACAGAGAAAATAGATTAAGGTGTGACAGGATATGAGTATGGGGAGAAGGCTGGGTAAGATTATAATGGTCTTTAAATGGCATGCAAGGAATTTAGGCAACTGGAGCCAATGGAAGGATTTTTAGCAGGTCAGCATTCACCTTAGGATACCCTGTGTGGTGGGTGGAGGATAGATTGAAGGGCAAGCGAAAGTAGCTGGGAGACCAGTTTGGAGACTGTTGCTCTAGTCCAGGTCCAAGGTGATGAGGCCTAAATAAGGCTGGTGACTAATCTTTTGAGATCACAGACCTGTTTTCCAAAGCCATTCCCAGAAAAATGCTCAGGTGTCAGTTTTCACACATGTATGCCTACACATTACACACACATTTTTCATATAGTTTCATATAGTTTCCTCTGACTCTTAAATTCTAGTTAAGTATTTTTACATAATCTAATGTCACTCATACTTTATCAGGGATTTGAAGAAGACTCAGACTGCTGGGGATAGAGGAAGAGACATCCCCAATCATTCAGTTTAAAAACTTCACTTTATAGAACAGGAAGCTGAGGCCTAGAAAGGGGGAGTAACCCACCCAAAATTAGTGAAGGAGGAGGAGTGCCTGTAGCAGGCCAAGTGTCTGGTGCCCAGGACGCTCCCACCTGCCTGGGAGCTGACTTAAAGGACACAGGCCTTGAGTCTGGGAGACACCAGAGTCAGGTTCTCCTAATTAATTTCAGAGCCAGAAATCCATTGAGAAATGAAGGATAGCATTTTACCTGTGATTTACACCAGATAACTTTATTGGCTACAGTTTAGGATGGGAACATTTCCCTTCCCCACTCAGCCTCTGTTTTCTCAGCTATAACCACCTACAACGTTTCTAAAGCACCTAGCATGTGCCAAGCACTTGACAGATCACCTCCCCAAATCCTCTCAATGAGGTAGGTGCTATTGTTATCTCCATTTTAAAGATGAAGGCTTTGAAGTGGTAGTTATTGATTAAAAAAAAAAACAAAAAACCACTACAGCACTGGCTGGTTTTGCTCAATGGTTAAAGTGTTGGCTGTGGACCCTAAGGGTCACAGGTTCGATTCTGGTCAAGGGTATGTATCTCTGTTGTAGGTTCCCTCTCACATTGCTGTTTTTCCTCTCTCACTCCCCCTCCTTCTGCCCTTTCATCTCTCTCTAGAAATCAACGGAAAAAACATCCTTGGGTAAGGATTTAATAAATAAACTGTACGCCCATATTATTATTATTTTTTAAATACCCACTGCACACACACCTAGAGACTCCAATAGAATACGGGTGGGAGGGTAGACTAGAAAGGTTCTGGAACCTAGGCTCTGGAGAGGGGAAGAGGTGGAGGAGGTGGAGCTCTGGGGAGGTTTGCTGAGCCTGCCAAGGTTAGGGATACTGTGGGATCCAGGGGAGGCTGGGATAGAGAAGCTCCAAGAGGCAGGAAGGACACTGCCTGGAAGACCGGGTTGCATGAAGGAGAGAACCCTAGAAAAGGGGGAAGTCAACAAATTGCGTGTTAATAAGGGGAGAGGGAAGCACTGCAGGTGTGAGGCTCTGGAGAGATCTGGGGTATAGACAGGGATGTGGGAGTCTCTAGCAATGACATTTCCAGGTCACCTGGAAAGACCACAGATGAGAAAAAGTGAGTCCAGGGTTGAGGAACACTGGCCTTCAAAGAACAGGTGAGAGGTAGAAGTGTCTGGGAAGAAGGCTGGACTGGGGGACACTGGATGAGCATGGTGGCAGAGAACCCATGAAGGCAGTGCTCAGTGGTAACAGATACTCCTGGGAAGCCTAACAGGCTAGCCTCCTGGGAGGACAGCCTATCTCTGGGATAGGGGCTCCTGCCTCCCAGTTCTGGGCTCTTTCATTTTTCACTCTGCCAGCTGACTTCAAGAAAGGTTCCAAACTTCTGGCCTTACTACACGGAGGCCATTGGTGACCACAGAGTGTTTCCATTGACAGGTAGGAACTGGAGCAGATATACCTGTGGTCATGAAGGTCAGGAATGCAATCTAGGAGTAGACAGCTCTTTCAAGAACAATCTTTGTGTTCCACACGCTGTGGGGCTGGGTGGAGGGGGCAGCAGAGGATAAACTCACTTGTGTGTAATGATGCCACTTACATAAGGTTGCCCGTGGCTATGTGCGCTTGGAAGGACACCAGCTAACACAGTAACATCCAAGGGGCAGGATAGCGGGTGAATTTCACTTTCTTTGTACTTTTCCTGTATCATTTGAGTGTGTCCCAATGAATAGTTTCCATTTTTATAACCTGAAAAGAAAGATTATATTTGGGGGGGGGGGAATAATGAGTTCTGATCATGAAAAGAAGCAAAATAGGACAGCAGCAAGAGGGAGCCTGGGGAGAAGGCACTTCTACTTTTTAGACAGGAGAGAGGGATGTGCTGTGTCCTGTGGCTGCAGCAGGATGGCCCTCGGGAAGCCGGAAGTGAGGGAAACAGGATTGGCCACCTGCAAACTGAACTGTAAACCAATATACAGAGCAAAGGGGCAGAAACAACTGCACAGCTGAAGGGGGCTGGTTAAGTAACCCTGGAATGCTAGGTAGAAAGACTGAGGAAAGCCGAAACCGGTTTGGCTCAATTCCGGTCAAGGGCATGTACCTGGGTTGCGGGCGCATCCCCAGTGGGAGATGTGCAGGAGGCAGCTGATCGGTGTTTCTCTCTCATCGATGTTTCTAGCTTTCTATATCTCTCCCTTTCTCTCTGTGGAAAATCAATAAAAATATATTTAAAAAAAAAAAAGAAAGACTGAGGAAGACTCACAGGTCTATTGTTAAGTAAAAAGGGTAAGAAAGGTGAAAAAAGGAACTTTCCGAGCAGAGTGTAAAGTAGAACATGTACCTATTTGTGTGGGGGGTAGGGGTGGGGGAATGTTGTTTTGTGTTTGTTTGTTTTTTGTTTTGAATGCACCAACAGGCTTGTAGGCATAGAAAATTTCTGTGAGGAAACCTAAGATGCTCCAACACAGTAGGGGATGAGCTAAGATTTTTATTTACTAGGTACTTATGCTCTTTGTTTTCTATTAGAAAAATGTGACAATGCACACACACACACACACACACACACACAGTGGATCAGGTTTGCCTTGCACATAGGCATGAAGCCTGGGGGTAAGTGGGAGCTAAAACCTTTCTGGCTGGGGCTCTTTGTCCTAAATCATCTGCCCAGAGAGGCAGCTTTTTTATTTTTTAATATCTCAAAGGCTGGAGTTTGTGTAGCTCTCAGGCCTTCCCAAGCAACTGAGAATGAATGACATGGCCCAAGATGGAATGTGGCTATTAGCCATGGAATGGGGAATGGTGGCTGCGAGAAACTAAGAGAAACTTAAATTTTTAAAAAAGGTTCTTAAACCTTACTCCAGGTGTCAGGGTTTACCGCTTTCAAAGGCTGCAATCCTGGAACCAGCCCCCAGCTCTCCCTGGAGCAAGAACGGATCAAAGTAAACCCAGGCGGCTGTTAATGGGCTTGAGCACTTTCTGATGCTTTGCTTGTGAAGGCAGAATTCTGTTGCTCAGTCAGTGCCTCAGCTAATTGGCCTCCATCCAACACTCTAGAGGGAGTGTCTGATTAGAAGCCACAGCTGCTTTGCTCATTATTTCTATTTAATAGCACCTGGCATCTCTGGGTGATGGTGCCCGCTCAGGACCCAGGTGTGACCTATACAGCCAATAAAAGTACAATGGCGCCCTAGCCGGTTTGGCTCAGCGGATAGAGCGTTGGCCTGCAGACTCAAGGGTCCCAGGTTCGATTCCGGTCAAGGGCATGTACCTTGGTTGCGGGCACAACCCCAGTGGGGGGACGTGCAAGAGGTAGCTGATCGATGTTTCTCTCTCATTGATGTTTCTAACTCTCTATCCCTCTCCCCTCCTCTCTGTAAAAAATCAATAAAATATATTAAAAAAATAAAAGTACAATGGCTTTGCAGCCGCCTCCCCTAAAGGAATCGTCTTATGTAAGTCCTGCCCCGTAGAACACATTTTGAACTGGCTCATCCTTGCTAGTTCCCTTGCGGCAAATCCCAAATGCACTGCACTCAGGGAATTCATCTAAGGAGTTTGCTTTTACACTAAATAGTCACACTGGACCTGTATTCCTGCCCCCCCCGCCCCCCACATCCCCAGATAGTGTTCTAGTTATAAGTACTCTGGCACCCTGGTTTGGGATCTAGAGTTGCTCAAGAGAAGGGATTGATTATAGTGTGTGGACAAACCAGCCTGAGGGCGAAAGGCCCCTTGGGAGACACAGTTTTATCTTTCTGGTGGTATCCAACCTTCCCATGATGTCTTCCATTCTGCCCATGGGAGAAGCCATTTGTGCATCTATCAGCAAATTCATTTCTGCATTCTTGCTTGCCTTTTAGATAAATCTGTTATTTGCAATTCCTTTGAAGCAGTTTTTTACATCTTAGTTTCCTCAGTTGAATGAGTTAAAACAAAATCTTTGACTCATTTTCATTTTGTAT